GGATTATAACACCCCATTGACTTCAGTGGATAGATTTTACAGGCAGAAAATTAACAAGGAGACAACGACCTTAAATGACACAATAATCCAAATGGATATAATTGATATCTTCAGAACATTTCACCCCACGTCTTCCACATGGAAGATATTCTGGGATAGACCACATGTTAGAACACAAAACAAGTCTCAATAAATTTAAGAAGGTCAAACTCATATTAAGCATCTTCTCTGACCACAGTGCTATGAAACTAGAAGACAATCACAAGAACACTGAAAAACGTGCAAAGACATGGAAGCTAAATAATAGGTTATTAAACAATGAATGGGGTGACAATGAGATCAAGGAAGAAATCAAAGGATACCTGAAAAAAATGAAAATGAGGACACAACAATTCAAAATCTATGGGGTACTGGCAAAGCAATCCTAAGAGGGAAATCCGTAGCATTACAGGCCTATCTCAAACCAAACAAACAAACAAACAAAATCCCAAGAAAAAGCTCAAATAAAAAATCTAACTTCACACTTAAAGGAACTTGAAAAAGAACAACCAAAAAAGCCCCAAGTAAGTAGAAGGAAGGAAATAATAAAGATCAGAGCAGAAATAAATGAAATTGAGTCTAAAAAAAGCAATACAAAAGATCAATGAATCCAAGAGCTGGTTCTCTGAAAAGATAAACAAGATTGGCAAGTCTTTAACCAAACTCATCAAGAAAAAAAGAGAAAGGACCCAAATAAATAAAATCAGAAATGAAAGAGAAGAAATAACAACTGATCCTAAAGAAATACGAAGGATTATAGAAAATGTTATGAACAATTATATGCCAACAAACTGGACAACCTGGATGAAATGGATAAATTCCTAGAAACATACAGCCTTCCAAAACTAAATCAGGAAGAATAACAGAATCTGAATAAACATATTACACCTAGTGAAATTGAAGTAATCAAAAAACTCCCAACAAACAAAAGCCCTGGACTGGATGGCTTCACAAGGGAATTTTACCAAGCATTCCTAGAACTAACATCACTTTTAAAGCTGTTTCATAAAATTCCAGAGGAGGGAAGGCTCCCAATCTCATTTTATGAGGCCAATATTATCGTAATTCCAAAACCAGATAAAGACACTACAAAGAAAGAAAATTCTAGGCCAATATCTCTGATGAACACAGATGCTAAACTCAACAAAATTAGCAAACTAAATACAGCAATGTATCAAGCAGGAATTATTCTGGGAATGCAAGGATTATACAACATTCACAAGTCAATAAATGGGATTGACCACATAAACAGAATGAAGGCTAAAAGCCTCATGATCATCTCAATAGATGCAGAAAAAGCCTTTGATAAAATTCAGCACACATTGTGATGAAAACTCTCAGCAAACCTACACATACCTATACATAATAAAGGATCATACCTACACATACTACCTACACATAATAAAGGCCATATATAACAAACCCACTGCCAGCATCATACTCATTGGGCACCCGTGAAGTGCTCCCCTTAAGATTTGAAACAAGACATGGATATCCCCTTTCACCTCTGTTATTCAACATAGTACTGGAAGTCCTAGCTACATCAATCAGACAAGAAGAAGAAATCAAAGGCATCCAAATTGGAAATGAAGCAAAGTGTCTTTATTTGCAGATGACATGATTCTGTACTAGAGAACCCCAAAGATTCCACCAAGAAACTACTAGAACTGATAAATGAATTCAGCAAAGTAGCAGGATACAAAAATAATATCCAGAAATCTGTTGCATTTTTATGTGCCAATAACAGACTAACAGAAAGGATAATCAAGAAAACAATCCCATTAATAATTGCTTCAAAAACAATAAAATAGCTAGTAATAAACCTACCCAAGGATGTAAAAGACCTGTACTCAGAAAATTGTAAGACACTGAAGAAATTGAAGAAGATACAAATAAGTGGAAGCACGTAATGTGTTCATGGATAGGGAGAATTAATATAGTTAAAATGTCTATACTACCCAAAGCAATCTATAGATTTAACACAATTCCTATTAGGATTCCAATGACATATTTCACAGAACTAGGACAAATATTTCAAAAATTTATATGGAACCAAAAAAGGCTCCACATAGCAACAGCCATCCTGAGATAGAAAAACAAAGTTGGAGGAATCGTGCTACCTAATATCAAACTGTACTATAAGGCCATACTAATTAAAACATCATGGTACTTGCATAAAAACAGACACATAGATCAATGGAACACAATAGAGGGCTCAGAAATAAACCGCAATTAATATTCGACAGAGGAAGCAAGCACATAAAATGGGCTAAAGATAATTTATTCAATAAATGGCGTTGGGAAAATTGAACAGCTACATGCAGAAAAATGAAATTAGACCACTTTGTTACACCACATACAGGAATAAATTCAAAATGAGTCAAAGACTTAAATGTTAGACCCGAAACCATAAAAATTCTAGAAGAAAACAGACAGCAAAATCTTGGACATTGCTCTTAGCAATTTTTTATTGGATATATCTCCCAGGCAAGGGAAATAAAAGAAAAATAAAGAATTGGGACTACATCAAACTAAAAAGTTTTTGCACAGCAAAGGAAATCATCAACCAAATAAGAAACCCACAGAATGAGAGAACATATTCACCGATATATCTGATAAAGGGTTAATATCCAAAATTTATGAAGTACTTACAAAACTCAACACACACACACACATGCACGAACGCACACACACCCAATTAAAAAATGAGCAAAGGACATGAATAGACACTTCTCCAAGAGGACATACAAATGGCCAATAGACATAGGAAAAGATGCTCAATGACACTAATCATCAGAGAAAAGCAAATTAAAACCACAATGAGATACCATCTCACACCTGTCAGAATGGCTATCATCAATAAATCAACAAACAAGTGCTAGCAAGGATGTAGAGAAAAGGAAACTCTTTTGCACTGTTGGTGGGAATGCAGATTGGTGCAGCCACTGTGGAAAGCAGTATGGAGATACCTCAAAAAATTAAAAATGGATCTGCCTTTTGACCCAGCAGTCTTACTTCTGTGAATATATCCAAATGAGCCCAAAACACTAATTCAAAGGAACATAAGTACCCCTATTTTCATACCAACATTATTTACAGTCGCCAAGATGTGAAAGCAGCCCAAGCGTCCATCAAGAGATGAATAGATAAAACAACTATGGGACACTTACACAATGTAATACTGGTTGGCCGTAAAAAAAAAGAAAATTTTACCCCTTGTAACGGTATGGATGGACCTGAAAAGTACATTGTGCTAAGTGAAATAAGCCAGTCAGAGAAAGACAAATACCATATGATTTCACTTATATGTGGAATCTAATGAACAAACTTAACTAACAAGGAAAATGGGAACAGACTCATAAATAGAGAACAGGATCAGAGCTAGTGGAGGAGGAGATTAGGAGATGGAGGGATTGAGCAAAAGAGGTAAAAGGAGTTATGGGCATGGACAACAGTGGTGATTGTTGGGGGAAGTGGATATAAAAGGACTAAAAGGTAATGTAAAAGTGCAGTAAAAACAAAAAATAAAACAACTGAAAAATTATAATGCAAAGTAGCCTACCAAAGTTAATAATATTAATTGCTTTATGTTTTATAACAGCATTCTAGTTTGTTTGTTTTTTCACTTCATTTATATTCCATGAAGGCTTAGAATTTTTAAAAAAGAAAGTGAGTATATTTAATCAAAATTTTAACCAAGCTTCCCAATGAAGAAAAATTTGCTGAGGGGTAAAAATAAAATAAAGACATTTCTAGAATTTCAAAATACGTTAAAAATAGTCCTATAATAAGCTTTCTTAATTTTCCCATGAGGAATATATTTTATAGCAGGAACAGAAGATTTTACCCACCATATGTATACTGATTTCTAGTCTTCTCAAACTCAGGATGAATAAATCATACCTATATATATTTTAAATTGTTGGGATCATAAAAGGTTTTAGTGTATGAAAATATAGTTGTATCTCTAGATACTTTAATGAAGTATAGATAGAAAAATAGGAAGTGTTCCGCATATGTCCCATCCCAGGGTGGAAATTACCTTGCTGTACTGGGAAATTGTTGATGTCTCTAGAAAAAGTCCCTTTTAAATTGATGAAGCAGATGAATGGGTGAATGGTAGGGGGAGTTACTCTTTCTAAGATTTGATTTAAAAAACCAAAGATCTGAATTAATGCATATTGCTTTGTTATATACTAAAGCTTATTTATTTTAAACAGTTCATCATGTTGATGACAAAAAGGCTATTTGACCTTTGGAAATGACCATTTCGAGATTGATTCTAGTTGGAGTTTTTAAGGTGTCTTTCAATAGGTCATAATTATGAAGGCAACTTCATTATCTTTAACATGGAAGCAATTGATGGCAAACATAATTCAAAATAGTGGGTATTGTAATAGTTTTGACATGGGGATATATTTACTACTTGCAATTTTAATATGGATGATGATCTTCATAGTGGGGTTTCATTCAAACAAAATAAGATTCCTTTGTGAGGAGCTAAAACAAAACAAAACCAAACAACACCAACAACTATGCTGTTTGCTTGAGAGGCAGGATCAAAATCTCCCTTCTCATCGTTGCTAATTTTTTAATCTACTAAAAAATTATTAAGGGAATAATAAGGGGATTGGTGAATTTTAGATATCAAAGGTAAGGGACTCAGTTTCCATACTGAGAATTCTTTTTCATGTTTCTCTTTCCAATGTGAAATCATCTCAAGCAAAACAGAAGTATCTTTAACCAATTGATTAATAATTTTGCTCTTTTCTTTAATCCCTTTTTTCTTTTGTATGTATAGATAAAAATTATAGTATTTATAAGTGCCAGGTATGTTAGAATTTTAAGTTTCTTTTATAAGTAAATTATTAGGATATTAAATTTTGTATTAAGTTCATATTTAGTTATATTTTTGTCATAATTTTGAGTTACAAGATTACTATCCTTTCTTCTTTTGTTAGATACACACAAGTCCATGTTTTTATCAGTCTTCTGAGAAGAGCCAGCCCTTACCATTAAAGACAAATCTTTGGCACTGGTTGAATCCTGGAGATAGTTTTTCTCTATTAGTTGACAAATACATTTTCCGTGTTTTCTCTACATATTCTGAAACAGAATTGGAATCTACTTTAAGGTAAGTTTGCCTGATGAAATGAGATTATGAAATGGTATTTGTAATCTAATTCTTCAGTCATGCACAGATGCTTCCATAGAAACCATTCTAGTATTAAACTCTATTGGCGATTTGGGAGTTACGTGGTATATGTGAGTGTGCTTCTAGAAAACGTTTGGCTGTGGAAACTCATCCCTCTGTAATGATCGTTCCCACATGTGGTGTCTTTTACCATTATTTTCCATCTAACAGCAACCAGGATAGTTAATTTTAAATTGACTACATTTTCTTAATCTTTTTGTTAGATTTTAAAATTTCATAAAAGTATTAATCTCAGGCTTCGACTAAAATTGTATAACTTCTCTGTCTTATAAAAATAACAGAAAATATAGAATAGGGAAACCGAGGAAATCAAATAGTACAATAAACATCTGATGTGCAGTTAAAATTAATATACAACTTCTGTCGAGGCAGTCATTAGCAGGTTATTTGCCTTTGTTTCAGCTTTTAAATTACAGAATATGTAAACTGGACCTATAGAAGTAGAGGGACAAAATTATACAGAGCATGTTCTCTAATTGCTCTGGTATTAAATTAAAAATCAATAATAACCAAGTATTTAGGAAAATCTCCAGATATTTTCAAATTAATCAACACATTCCTAAATAATCCATGGATCTAAAGAAAATCATAAGGACAATTAAAAAACATTTTGAATGGAATAATACTAAAAACAAATAAAAATTTGTGAAATGCAACTAAAGTAGTCCTTAGAAGGAAATAAAATCAATGATTTGTGCTTCTGCTTTAGGAAGATAAACAGGAAAGTTTAAAATCAGACAACACTGAACTGTACTGTTATGGTAAGTAGCAGACTTCCTTCCTTACAGGGCATGATAGTAAATATTTTAGACTTAACTGCCACATGGTCTCTGTTACAACCTCAATTATTCCACGCCATTGTAATATGATGGTGTGTGGTACAGGGTAGATGGTAGTACATGGCTGTGCTCTGTAAAAAAACTACCCCTGTTTCATGGGTACATGTATTTAAGATAAAATCTCTTTTAAGGAGGACAAGGGAAAGGAAGGAAATGATAACCATTGCAGTCAGGATAATGATTACCTCTTGGAAGGATGGGTTTGTGATCAGGGAAGGGTAAATGGGGACTTTGAGGATGCTGTCAGTGTTTTAGTGGAACTTGTGTGGAGGTTGCATAGGTATTCACCTTATAGCTGTCTTTTTAATTCTATGTAAAAGTTGTATGTACAATAAATAAGTTGTATGCCACAATAAAAACTTTTTTAAATAAAAAAAAGAATATAGACAGGAGCAAATTAATCCCATAATAGATTTTTTTTAAAAAATGAAATAAGAAGAATGAGACTAAAAACTCAATGAAATAGAAAGTGGACAAATAAAATTAACAAAAACCAAAAATTGATTCTTTGAAAGATTAATAAAATTGGGAAAACCTTATCAAGGTTTACCAATAAAAAAAGCTAGAAAACACAAGTTATCAATATCAGTAATGAAAGAGGGGATATCATTACTGATCCTGCAAATCTTAAAAGAATACTGAAAAAATATTTAAAATTTAATTTCAGTAAATTTGGCAGCCTAAGTGAATGGATACATTCTTTGAAAAACGTAGTTTACCAAAACTGATACCGGAAGAAACAGAAAATCTGATGACTCCTATATCCATTAAAGATACTGAGTTTACAGTTTAGGAATTTCCCATAAGGAACTTAACTAGTGGATTGTCTTTAACTTTCAAGGAAGAATACCAATATTACACCTTTTTGCCCCAAATAGGAGAGGTGCACTTCTGCAGGATTTTATGAGGATTCTATAATTCTGATATCAAAATCAGATAATAACATCACCAAAATGTAAAATAAAGACCCATATTCCTTGTAACAGATTTACAGATCAAATCCAGTAATAGGCAAAAAGCATAATACACGTTGACCAAATGGAATTTTTCCAAAAAAATGCAAGGTGGATTTATCATATAAAAATCAATTAGTTAACAGATTAAAGAACTATCATTTCAGTAGCATAAAAATAATTTTGACAGACACCTGTTCATAATTAAAAATAAAACACCTTTATAGGAATGAATTTTTTTTCCTATTAGAAACTCATTCTTAGTAGTGAAATATTGGATGTTCTCTCTCTGAGACTGGGAACCAAACAGATGCCTATTTGCACAACTTTTATTCATCATCTACTGGAGATCCTAGCTAGTTCAGTAACATAAGAAAAAGAAATGAAATGGATCATATTAGAAAGGAACTAGTAAAACTGTTCTTCCTTGCAGATGACATGATTGTATACTTAGAAAATCCTGAGGAATCTACCAAAGAAACAAGACACAATGTAGTACCTACTATATGATTACACTTATTTTATATTCTGTAATAAGCAAACTAATCTATACTGGTAGAAATCTAATCATTGGTTATTTCCAGGGGGGATAACTAGGAAAGGGCACAAGGAAACTTTTTGTGGCGATGGACATGTTCTATGTCTTGATAAAGGTGGTTACATGGTTGTATGGTTTTGTCAAAACTGACCAAACTGTGCACTTCGGAAAATATAAACTATATCTAAATTTTTAAAATAGTAAATGGAAAGAAATTATGTCAGGAAATTTTTTTTTATTTTGGTTATATGAATTCAATAACCATGGCTTGCCATTTACTTTTTTTCTTATTGTACATGTATAAAGAATGCTATTTTTTAACCAGCTGCTAACATAAGTAGAGAAACTAATTTTTTGTTATAGTAAATTTGCATAATAGAATTATATACTTTTTTCAAAAATCAGGGAAGTGCTGTACATTTCTATGAAACAAAGTATGGTCATTGCCTGATAATTTATTTACATGATTATATGTCAATTTTAAGTTTATATATATCTGTTCATGTTTGCTTATCCCCTTGGTGTGAAAGATTACTCTTGTACCTTAAATCAGATTGTGGATTAGTAAATTTTGAATTTTTTTAGTATTGATAAAACTGAAAATACAACCCACTTTAAAAACACTATACTTTTCTTCAGGCTGTTTATTACAAGGAATGGTATCTAGTGTGTAACTGCTGTCAAGCCAAATATATTGAAGGAGGTAGTAAATGTTTTGTATATGTTTTGGTAATTGTGTGCCTAGTTTAGGGTAACCAAATTAATTGTTTTTATATTAAAAACTAAATTTTTATTTTTAGCTTGCTAGTATAAAATTTTCTTCAGGGTGTTGATTTCACTTTCAGCACTTCTCCAGTTTGTGATTTCAAATATACCCATGATGATAGAATGATTTCTGATGTGTAGTAATCATTTTCATTATTTTCACTTTGATCTTTATCATACATATAGTAACAGTAGTTGAAAGACCATTTTCCTAAAGATCAGTTTAACTATAATAGCTTAGTTGAAGATATTTATCATACATGCATCATGCAATATACGGGGTCTGTCCAGAAGATAGGCAGCCATGTAATATGAAAAATAGAGACATTTATTGAAGAAGATACAAGAAACATCGCACATAGAACAATGATGCCTCAGTTCCCTTCAAAGTAAGCAGCTTGGGACCTCACACAGTTCTCCCAGTCACCATCAGCTGCCCCATCGTATTTTCCTGAATCTCATCGACATGCTGGTATCTTTTCCCTTTCAAGGGTGGTTTTAGTTTTGGGCAAAGGCAGAAGTCACAGGGTGTCAAATCTGGGATAGAGGGGGGCTGAGTCACCAGGGTAATTTGATGTTTCGCCAAAAAACTCCACGCAAGATATGATGCATGAGTGGGTGTGTTGTCATGATGAAGCTGCCAATCACCAGTTGCCCATAGCTGTGGCCTTGTGAATCACAGGAATAGCTTCCGCAGAGGAATGTTCAAGCATAACACAAAATACGATGCAGATTTGTTGCTCTACTCGCTTATTTTGAATGTGATGGCACTGTATGCATGCTCACTCTACAGTGTCTACCACCCCCACTGACTAGCACAGTGAAGTTGTCATTATTCACGCACGTGCATTCCAGTCCACTCTCCTTGGCTGCCATGCAAACCGTTCTTGTTATATTAACAATGGCTGGATTTTTTCCAGACAGATCTTGTATGATTTAAAGCATATAGCCATCCCTTTTAAGCATTTTGTCAATATTTGATTCATTTAAGGATCTTTTGCTTTCATTGGTTAAATATTTAATATTTGAACAGGCAGAATAAAGATGAATCTAAAATACTCAATACTTTTTCAAAAGAGGCTATGTATGAGAACATAGGTTGGCAAACTTTCTTTGTAAGAACCAGATTGTAATTATTTTAGGCTCTGTAAACCATATGATCTATATCCTAGTAACTCAAATCAGCTCTTCTAGTGTTTCAGTAGCACTTCATTTACAAAAACAGGTAGCAGGTTGGATTTGGACTGTTGGCAGTTTGCTGATATGGGTATTAGAGTAAAAGCTAAGTTGCTTAACAAAAATGACCCCTAAATGCAGTACTTTAACAAGAATAAGTATTTTTCTGTCACATAATAGTCCAGAGATGTAGGTGTGCTCTCCTTCATAATGTAATTCATGTACTCCAGCTAATGGAGTAGCTCTGTCATCCTCAATATATAGCTTCCAAATTAGCATCATTTTTGGCATTCTCAGTTGGTAGGAAGGAAAGGAAGAAGAGAATCTATCACTTCAATTTACACCCCCCAGAAAAAAAATTGGTTAATGGCTACACAGAGCTGCAAGGAAAGCTGAAAAAATGTTGGCTCCAGCTAGGTGGTTAGACGTTGGTGCAGATGCTTAGTGATCATTGCCTTCCACCTTTGCTGTCTGTTATGCCAGTAACATCCACTTAGCCTCTGATAGTTAATGCCAACCACCTGGCCTGTACAACTCTAGAATCTTGCCGTCTCCATTGCTAATAAGGAGCCCTGTCTTTTGTCAGCCTCCCCTACCAGCAATGCTGACCTATAGAGGCAGCTACTGTAGCTACTTTTGAGCTCCTCAGCACTGCCTCAGTAGTGTGTACTTTATTGCTTATTGTCTGGGTCCTTCTGGGTAACATACTCAGCTAGTGGATTCTCTAGTCTAAGGACTCATGGACATGCACAACAGTGTGGTGATTGCAGGGGTAGGGGGTTAAATGGTAATGGAAAAAATATATAATAAAAACTTTTTTAAAAAAATACATCCATTTTTGCATGCCTGCCTCTTTGCGGTAGCAATCAACTATCTGTGTAGTTCCCCTCACTCTACGTCCAGCCCCTGGCAACCACTGATCTGATTTTTGTTCCTGTAGCTTTACCTCTTCAGAATTTCATATAAATGGAACCATGCGATATATAGCCTTTTTGTATCTGGCTTCTTTGACTTAGCAAAATGCCTTTGAGATGCATCCATGTTATTGTACATACCAGCAGTTAATTCCCTTTTAATTCTAAGTAGTATTTCTATTTTAATTTTCAATTTTTCAAAAAGATAAATTTTCTGGATATCTATGCCTACCTAAGTAATAATGATGCAACAACTTTGGATGATCTTACCGCATTTCACAGCAAGTAGGAAGTGATTGATTTGGCTTTTATGTTCCACATGTAACCATGGGCGCTCTGCTGAGGAACATTTAGCTTCCAGTCAGGCTACAAGTTTGGGGAGATTGCAGAAGCAGCTTCCTAGGCCCGAACCCCAGTAGCAGCTATGTAGGAACTTGACATCAGGATTTTATGTTATTTTATTTTATTTTTCAAGAGCCTAACTAACTTAGCTGATACACTTTCAGTTGCATTTTCTCTTTGGATGCTGGGTGGTGTCCTTAACTTTTATGGACTATCTGGACATTGAATTGAATGAGTAAATAGCTCTTAAGCTTTGACAAAGATGGCTGTTCCTCATCTCATAAATAGCTGTGCTTTTTAGACCCAAGATTTGTAAAGATTAATGTATTTTATTGTGATACTGTGGTCAGAAGAGGAAGAACATGTTCTAGTCTATGTATTTTGTTCTATTGTATTATAATCTGCTTTTCTTGTTCTGCTAAGTCTGAGAAAAGTAGCATAACTCATTAGTTAGATATGCTTGGGTGACTCACATTTATAACGGCATGGTAGGCAACAGAAGTGTTTTAAATTTAAATGATGAATAAATGATTTGATTTTATTTTATAGAAACAGCCAAATGCTTGATGAAGATGATACATTGAATGAAACACCAGAACCATCCTTGGTGAATTTGCCTAACGAGACAAGTGGTGCACCACAGCTGGAAAGAAGCGCAGAAATAGCAGCGACTCAGACTTCTACCACACAGAGTGTGGTGAGAAATTTAAGATATCGTCCATTTATAACATGTTCCTTAAGTTATTTTTAGGAGAAAAAAAAAAACAACTGAAATTAGACATATCAAGACAATATTGCTAGCATTTTTCTGCTTTTATTCTTTTTAAGTTAAACTCTGGAGGATATCACACTAGACCAACACTTCAGCTATTAGAGATCATGAATTTCCTTCTTTGAGAAATTCGACTAACTCAATCCACAGTTGCAGATGGGATTTTCATGGTAGTTTTCTGCAAAGTAAATAATTTTACAATTTTATTAAGGATGCATGCTTATTTTTAGTAATTAATAAACTAGGTGCCTTTTTAGTCTTTCCTAGGTGAATGTTCAGACTTCAGTAAGCAGCAGTTAAACCCTGCCCAGAGGAAAAGAATCCTTCCAGCGTGGATGTTAACAGAAAATATAGGTGATTAAAACCTTTCAGCACCAGTTATCAGTGGAAGTAGGTTTTGTTTCAAGAAAACATTAAGCAGAATTTGAAAGTTTTTCTGAACAGATGGAGGTAGAGTGGTAGTTGTGTAAGTGTGTAACTTAGCCTACCATTTTTTTAGATGTGTACGTGAAGTCTAATTTAAAACACAGGCTATTATTTTATGCCATTTATCAGTCATCCTGCTAATTAGTTTTTGATTTAACAAGCGCTAGATTTACAATATTAACACTGATTTTTAAACAAACCTGTTAATGTCATGTCTAAGACAAAATATAAGCACAGCAAGGGCTTTATAAGTTAATATAATTAAATAAAAAGTGCTAGGCTCACAATGTTATATGCTAGAGTATTAGAAGAAGAGGTGACCTCTGTCCTAGTATACCTCACTGTCATGGCAGATATTACAATGATTTATCTGCTGGGTATTACCATCGATTCAAGATTATTAAAAGTTTTCTGCATTGTCTTACTTAGCTTTTTATTCGCAACTTTTCAGTCATCTCAGGTTCAGTTTCTTTTGACTGCTTGTTCTTTTATATGGGTTACATTTTCCTGTTCATTCTCTTGTCTACTGACTTTCTTTTGGAAATTGAATGTTATAAATAATGTTGGAGAGCTTTTTGATTTTCGGTTTCTCTGAATAAATATTTTTGCTGTAATGGGCAATTAATTTGGCCTGACAGGCAATTTCTTCTAATCCGCAGTTAGTTCAAGTCCTAAACTCTGTTTTCCTGTGTGGGCAGCAGCTATAGTCTCTGCTTAGTGCCTTTAGCCTCCTACTGCTGCTTTTTCTCCGGGTTTGGGGCTCTCTCCCATTTACACATAGTCAGCCAAGGGTTTAGGTTGATTTTATGCATTTGGTTTTGGTTCTTGGCTCTCTGCGGTTTTCTTCCTTTCAGAATTTTATCCCTAACTTCCTACCTACTCCACAAGCCTCAGACTCTGTCCTCTGACAAGTTAAGCTAGTAAGGTTGCAGCTTTCTGCTATTTGTGAATTGGGTGTGCTCTCAGGGAAAAAGCCACAAATTCACAAACCTCATAGGATGTAGTGAATTTTTCAAGCTTAGATTCTTCTGTAGTTTTGCCTTTTGAGACACTCTCTAGTGCATTCAAATAGTTGCTTTTTAATATTCTGTCCAAAATTTATCATGGTTTTGTTTGGAATGATTAGTTCATTCAAGCTATTCTTTCATTTTACCCTGAACATTATCTTTTATAAATTAAAAACACAATTGAATATGTATTTTAGTTGGTATATTACTACTCTTACTGTTTCTAATATTCAGCATAGTGGTCACAGAAGTCTTCTGAAATTTTAATCAAGTATATTATGGACAGAATATTCCTCATTTAATGCTACTTTGGATTATAGTAGGATCAGAGCGATCTTGTAGGACAAATAAGTTGTATATTGTGTTGAGGTAGATGTGATTAAATCTGGAGAATTTTCATATCTAAACCTAAAATTTCCTGGTAGGAGTTTTATTTCTTGCAGTGGTTTTCATCCCCCTCCCCCACCCATTATATGTATATTTTCATATGTTACATTACTCATTAATGTGATAATTGTCAATTTGCAGGAAGGTAATGGCAAATGGGGGATGGTAGTGGAGAGGGTCCAGGCACTTTCCTTCAGTAGAACAGTTTCTCTAATATAGAGAGAATCACTTGACCAAAATTGAACTACCTCCCTGCAAACAAGTTCTTTTTCATAGTCGTTCTATACTGTTAATTGCTTCTGTGCTACAACTATTACATTACTTATAATAGTCCAAGATATATTTTGCTTCAAATTATAAATAGCTATTAACTTTCACTTGATAGATGTACCACATAAAATATGAAGCACGTTTTTGGACACTTCACCTTGAAAATACAAATGAGAGCAATTTGACATTCATTTGGACAAGAATATTATATAGTACACAATGTACTTAAAATGCAAAAGCTTCAAAATAAGACAAAAAAGTCTTTGGATTCAAGTATATCTTCTTACTATAAATTTAGACTTTGGGGGAGAATTTTTAAGAGCAAAATTAGGTACTGAGTTTCTTTAAAGACAGGAAGATTTAGAAGTCAATTAGTACTAATTAAAGCTTGAAATAATTTGGATTTTTCTGCAATGTAGTTTTATTTAATTGTTATTGTTTTGTTTGTTTAAATAATATATCATCCAGGTCAATAGACCAATGCTAGTTATTTTTTAAAATCCAAATCTAGGATGCATTTTAGGTTTATTATATACAGGTTATTTTCTTAATGTCTCTTGCAGCCTTACTATATTTTGTTCATTGGTCATTATTTAGATTATCTGAAACCAACTTGATATTTTGGAACCTTTTGCATCATACAGGACAGATAACATTACTTGATGTTAAATTACTTATCCAAGATCATGTAATAAATGCCAGAGCTGTAATTGAAACCTAGCTCTGCCTGTTTCTAAAATATATTTTTTAATATATTTTATTGATTATGCTGTTACATTGAGCTATATTACTGTTATACAGTCACCTAAATTCTCTCTGTGCTCTGTGTGCCCTGTTTTTTTCTTTTTAAATATGCCCTTGTATTTTCTCCTGGAACTTTTCTCAATTTAACTCTTGGTTAATCCTTATATGTATGTCAATGTTTGCAGTGATCAGGCTATCCTTCTGTTATTCCACCAGCATATTCTAGTTTATCTTCTTTCCTGGGTCCCCAGGTACTAGTCCTTAGATATTATCATGAGTTTTTCAGGCCTGGGATAAAATTTTCTCCATGTCTCTTAGGGATTGGAAGTGGATATATTTGGGCAAGGTCTATCAAGCTTCCCCATTCTTGACTTCCATTTATCTCTGTTCCCTCAGCTTTCTAGGCCTCAGGACAAGTCATAATTCCTGGGTCATGGCATTCTTGCTAGATAGAAAAAGGAGCTTTTAGATTTTCCCTTGTATCATGTTACTGTGTAGCACTCTTATTTTCCCATCTTCTAACTTTTCTACACAGAGTCCTGAAAAGAAGCACATGCCAGTAAAGACTGAAGTAGTAGGTAGTCCCCAAACCATTTAGTTTGCATTTAATTTTGCACTCTGAATATTTTCTCTATAACAACTCAATGTAGATTATAAATATTGAACTGATTTTGTTTTAATTAGACTAAAGCTCAAAATTTAAAGTGCTAGTTAGTCTATTTTAATATGTTTTATTGATTATGCTGTTACAGTTGTCCCAATCTATTCCCTTTTGTCCCCCCTGCCCCAGCCAGTATTCCCCATCCTTCCGGCAACTCCCCACCTTAGTTCATGTCCATAGTTCGTGCATGTAAATTCTTTGGCTACCTCGTTCCCTATACTATTCTTAACCTCCCCATGTCTATTCTGTACCTACCAATTTGTACTTCTTAATCCCTGTACCTTTTCCCCTATTCTCCCCTTCCCCCTCCCCACTGGTAACCCTCCAAATGATCTGGACATCTCTGGTTCTGTTTCTGTTCTGCTTGGTTGCTTAGTTTGTTATTTTGATGCAACTGCTGATAGTTATGATTTAATTACCATTTTAATATTCATAGTTTTGATCTTGTTCTTTTTCTTAAATAAGTCCCTTTAACATTTCATATAATAGTGTCTTGGTGATGAACTCCTTTAGCTTTACTTATTTATTTCCAGCAATGCTGTTAAATGATCCAATTAATTCAAATAGTTTTTAGTCTCTTGAATTTTCTAGCTCTACAATCATATCTACAGAGTTATGACATCTTTGGCTCTTTTGATTTATTACTGCTTCCTAAAATTTTATTATCTTATTGCATGAGCTAGAATTTACAAATTTTATTTTTTATTTTTAATTATATTTTTTTGATTATGCTATTACAGTTGGCCTGATTTTTCCCCCTTTGCTCCCCTCCATCCAGCACTCCCACTCCCTCAGGCAGTCCGCCCACCACTGTTCATGTCCATGAGTCATGCGTGTAAGCTCTTCAGTTATTCCATTTCCTACACTGTACTTTACATCCCCATGGCTATTCTGTATCTACCTATTCATACTTCTTAATCCCCTCACCTCTTCACCTATTCCCCCTTATGCCCCTCCCATCTGGCAACCATCAAAATGCTCTCCACATCCATGCTTCTTTCTCTGTTATTCTTTCCTTAGTTGTTTTTCAGATTCAATTGTTGATAGATTTGTATTTATTTGCATTTTATTGTTCATAGTTTTGATCTTCTTTTCCATAAGTCCCTTTAACATTTCATAGTGTAATAGTTTGGTGATGATGAACTCCTTTAGTTTTTTTCTTGTCTGGGAAGCTCTTTATCTGCCCTTCGATTCTAAATGATAGCTTTGCTGGGTAGGACAATCTTGGCTATAGGTCCCTGCTGTTCATGACTTTGAACATTTTTTGCCAGTCTCTTCTAGCCCGCAAGTTTCTTTTGAGAAATTAGCTGACAATCTCATGGGAACTCCTCTATAGGTAACTAACTGCTTTTCTCTTGCTGCTTTTAAGGCTCTCTCTTTATCTTTAACCATTGGCATTTGAATTATGATATGTCTTGGAGTGGGCCTCTTTGCATCCATCTTGTGTGGTACTCTGTGCTACCTGGACTTGCATTGTCTATTTCCTTTACCAAATTAGGGAAGTTTTCTTTCATTATGTTCTCAAATAGATTTCCAATTTCTTCCTCTTTCTATACTTCTGGCACTCCTATGATGTGAATGTTGGACCTCTTAAAGTTGTCCCAGAGGCTGCTTATACTATCCTCATTTTTTGAATTCTTTTCTCTTCTTATTATTCTGATTGGTTATTTTTTTCTTCCTATGTTACAAATCATTGATTTGATTCTCAGTTTTATCTACTCTACTGTTATTTCCCTGTAAATTGTTCTTTATTTCAATTAGCATATCCTTCATTTCTGACTGGACCTTTTTTATGCTGCTGAGGTCCTCAGTAAGTTCCTTGAGCATCCTTATAACCAGTGTTTTGAACTCAGCATCTGATAGATTGCTTATCTCCATTTCGTTTAGCTCTTTTTCTGGAGTTTTTATCTGTTCTTTCATTTGGGCCATGTTTCTTTGTCTCCTCATTTTGGCAACCTCACTGTTTCTATGTATTAGGTAGAGCTGCTTTGACTCCGTGTCTTGGTAGTATTGCCTAATGTAGTAGGTGTCCTGCAGGGTCCAGTTGCATAGCTTCCCCTGTCACCCTAGCTGGGTAGTTGAGGTATGCCCTTCATGTGGGCTGAGTACACCCTCCTCTTGTAGTTGAGCCTCAATTGCTGTTGGCAGGTAAATGGGAAGGTTTTACCCAGGCTAGTCAACTGCAAGGATTGGCTGTGACCACTTACCACCAGCCTCTGCCCTGTGTGGAGGATTAGCTGTGCAGGGGCAGGGTGGTGGTGCTCCAGGCATTCCAAAATTTGAACCAAAAGAATCTTTGCAGGCTAGAAGGGATTGGCAAGAAATATTCAAAGTCATGAAAAGCAGGGACCCATAGCCAAGATTGCCCTACCCAGCAAAGCTATCATTTAGAATCGCAGGGCAGATAAAGAGCTTCCCAGACAAGAAAAACTAAAGGAGTTCATCATCACCAAACTATTACACTATGGAATGTTAAAGGGACTTACTTACGGAAAAGAAGATCAAAACTATGAACAATAAAATGGAAATAAATACATACCTATCAACAATTGTATCTAAAAAACAAACTAAGCAAAGAAGAAGAACAGAAACAGAATCATGGATGTGGAGAGCATTTTGGTGGTTGCCAGATGGGAGGGCGGTGTGGGGGAATGGGTGAAGAGGTGAAGGGATTAAGAAAATAGGCAGTTACAGAATAGCCATGGGGATATAAAGTGCAGTGTAGGAAATGGAGTAGTCAAAGAATTTACATGTCTGACCCTTGGACCTGAACGATGGTGGGGGGACTGCCTGAGGGAGTGGGAGTGCTGGGTGGAGGGGAGCAAAGGGGGAAAAAATCAGGCCAACTGTAATAAGATAATCAGTAAAATATAATTTAAAAAAGAATAAGTAAAAATAGTCAACAAATATATAATTATTATAAGAGAGGAAAATACAAAGTGAAACTATGAGGTACCATTTTTTGTTTACTAAACTCATCAAAATCTAAGCAGTTGATAAAACCGGTGCTAACAGAAATGGGTATCACTGAACAGAGTTGGTGGAAGTGTAAGTTGGTATAGCCTTTTAAGTTTATTTGCCAGCATCTCTTAAAAATTAAGTACATAACATACTTTGACCCAGAAATATAATTTTAGGTAGTTAGCCCACAGAAATAATAGCATTTATACTTTTAACCCTGTGTATATTTATAAATATAGATTTGTAGACATATTTGCTCAAACTAGGAAAATGTTGAGAATCAAATTGTTAATATAACTGTTAGGAGTGGTTCCTCTGGAGTTAAAATTGCAAGGATATCATTTTAATGACATTTGTGCATATATTTGAGCTATCATTCACGTAGTAATACTGTAACTGCTCATATACATAAATACAATTAGTAATAGTTAAAACTAAAGAAAATTAATTGATTTGTTTTAATAGTTCATTTCTTTTATATTTCTGTCATTTAGTTGTACTTTTCTTTGATTTATAAAAAATTTTAATATCCAGATACAAAGATTGTTATGAACCAATTAACTTACTTTTTTATGTACTCTTTGTGAAAAGCATTTTAACAACATTATCAACATGGCTTTTTTTAATGCAGAAGAAGCTAGTTCTGGTCCTTAGAAGGAATATTTTTAATAGAGAATTTGGAATTTTAAAGAATTGAATATTTTAAATATGGATTTTTTAATTTTAGAATTTTATGTGCACATTGACATTTGGAATGTGGCACACTGCCATTTGGATAGACACTATGTCTTATTTAATTTACATTTTTTAGTTCTTATCATAGTAAGCAATACCATAGTTGGCTATTTCCCTTGGTTTGACTAATTCATAGCTATTGTAGCATTCGGTCATTTGTTTCACCAGTCTGTACAGTCCTATGTAGTCCTATTTCTGACAGTTTGTAAAATGATATGGAATGCTTCTTAATTTAGATTCCAACAACTATTTAAATAATTTAGGTAAAGTTTAGTTTTTAGATAGTTTGTTCATATGTTTCCTTTAATAAATGTATTATTTTTGTGTTGGTTCAACTGATTTCCTTGTTTAATAGTATGGACAGTACATATTCTATTAGTATTTTTTCCCTGAATTTAATGTAGTATTTTTTCAGGTTATCAAATATCCTGTAAAACAGCTCTGAGCAAACCACAGCCCATGAGCCAAATCCTGCCCACCGCCTGTTTCTGTAAATAAAATTTTATTGAAATACAACCAAGGCCATCCATGTCTGTATTCTGTGTGGCTGCTTTCACACTACAAAGGCAGAGGTAACTGGTTGAGACAGGTGCTAGATGGGCCACAGAGCTTTTTACAGAAAGTTTGCTAACCCTTATATTCCAGCATTAGAATAGTGCCTGTGGATTGTCTTACATACCTGTATCCAGGCTCTTAAGGAGATCTTTGGACAGATTCTGTTTATGTTCACAAGTCATTTCAGTTAAACATATCTACTGAGCACCAGTTTTGCAGTAGGCACAGTTCTAGGTACTGGAGGCAGTATAGGAACAGAACAGGAAAGTCTCTGTCCTTAGGAAGCTATTCTTTGAGTGCAGGGAAGGCTGACAACTAACCATGAAGACTTTCCTCTTAAAATAAATACATCTTGTTTTCTGATTATATAGTTCATGAATTTGTTGACAAAACATTATACTGACTTTAAGTTTTTTTACCATGTATGTTGAACCTTGGGAATATGACGTGGGATATAGAGTCCATTGTTATTATAACTTTATTTTCTTCGTTGGTTAAGTTTGTTGAGGTCACTCGCCCTGCTGGGTTATTTTGGGTTCTTAATCTGTAAGATAACTTATGTTGAATTCCTCACTGTGGCTTCTTAGGGAGGACAATAAATACTATACATAAAATGTATTGTATAAGCTATATGTCAGATTTTCTGTTAGAGAAATTCAATGCTAAAATAAAAATATATGATAGCTAACATATATCAGGTACTCTCCTACGTAGTTCATATATCTTACCTCATTAACTCTATAAGTTATTATTATAACTTCCTTTTTCCAGATGACGAAACCACAGTTCAGAGAGGTGAGGTAAAGTAGTTAGAGGGTGGAACCTGCCCACGTTAGCATCTTAACCTCGCCAACTTTGGGGCTGGAGCTCTAGGCTATTGTTCTGCTTAATACTTTTTGTGATTTGCAAATAAGTGTTTTAAAGTTGACAACATAACTGGAACTTTAATTTTACTAGCTCCTTTATCCTTTTTCTTTTTCTTTTTTTTGGGGCGGGGGGGAGAATATAGATTTATTAACATTTGAAGATAAAGAGATAATATTCTTCTCCTTTTTCTTTGTGTATGTGTGCTGATGTGTGTTTAAGATAATGTAATCCAGGAAAGTGGAAGAGAAGGAGCCTGCAAAGGTAGAACCCGAGTAAACATAACACAGCAAGGAAGAAAGCGATTAATTTCACCAGGAAGCTCAGAAAGTACATCAGCAGAGCAAGACACAGGAAAAAAGTGTAAAAATGCTGATCAGAAAGAATCTGTCATTTCATCCAAGGTGATTTTTAAAAAAATTCATTGATTGTTTTCTTTTTCAAGTGTTCTAGATAGGAATTAATTATATGTTTGTGTATACACAAGAAAAAAAATTACTTTTCATTAATGAGTTAGTGAAGTTTATGAAAACAAATACCATATGATCTCTCCTATAAATGGAACCTAATCAATGAAACAAACAAATGAGCAAAATATAACCAGACTTGGAAATAAAGAACAAACTGACAGTGACCAGAGGGGAGGAGTGAGGGGGATAGCGGAGGAAAGAAGGGGAGGGGGCAAGCAAAGGACCATGAATTGAGGACTCATGGGCACGGACGTTGGAGGGGGATTGACTGTGGGAGTGGGGGGGTCGGGGCGGGGGAGAGCAATGTAACTGGACGACAACAACAAAAGTTGTAAGACTTACACTTACTAATTTCAATACTGATTAAAAAAACCCCACTAGCCCATATTTTATTGGCTTACTGACACTAAACTTTAGTATAGTATTTGCATAGTAGAAAACAAAGCTATTTAATTTAGATATTTTCAGATGGTGAATATGGTAAAAAGAATGCTTGACTCTGGTTATATAATTGGTACCTCCATTATGAAAACCTGATTTCTTCAATTTTATTGACCATTCTCAAATGGCATATAACCATCTTTTACTTGATTAGTGTGCAGAGAAAAACAACTAATGGACTACTTTTTAATAGCCTCTTGTAGGATTATTTCTGGGCTAACTTACAATATTTATAAACCTTCTCTTTCAGTTTTTGTTTACTCACTAAAATGGTTTGGATGACTTACACATTCTTTAACACTGGGTACCTAGAGAAAATGAGACCTATATTAGATGCATGTAAAAAGAGAGCAAGAGAAAGGGGAAAAAAGCAAAGACATCCCCAGAACCAAAAGGTCAGGTACTCTTCTTCCCCTTGTTAGAGGAGTGGCTTTAGATGACAATTTTCTTTATCCTGTACACCTGTGTCTGAGCTCTGTGAGTCCTCATCTTTTTAGTCTCAACGAGAGCCAAAAGAGAGTAAGACTGGTTTTAGGACAGTGTGCACTGGAATAATTGAAAAGCCAGTAGCACCCCGGAGGGTCAGGTCTTTTTTAGTGCTCACCCTCCCTCCTGCCTCGTCTCCCATCAGATCAGATCGGTTTCCTCTCGGATCCTTTCTTCCAGTGAGAGAAGGGGATCTGAAAGCTATAGGCTCACTCCCTTGCTTGCTTTTGAAGTTTAATAAATGAAAACAGAATGTTTTCTGACTCAGTGTATTGGCCATAAAAGCTTATTAAGGTAAAACTTGTTTACATTGAGTTCTAATAACATGTTCTACTATCTGAACATATTAATATAATTGTCTTTATTTTCCAGGAAGAGGGAAATTTTTTTTCAGAATAAAATCTATAAGTATACATGTCTTGCTGTTTATTTCAACCCACCAGTTTGATGATCACAAGTTAAACTTTCAGAAACACCTTCTTAATTGATAGATGGTAGAGAGGAGTAGAAACAGATGGAAAATATTTGAGGTATTTATGAGATTTTAATGACGTTAAAGGAGTATTCAGCCAGGTCCCAGGAACGCCTGAGCTCTATTTGGCCAATTGCTTTTCCTTGCCTTACGGTTTCTAAGGGAGTTTCGCCTCTCACAGCACAGGAGAAACAGGGGTCAAGGTTTCATAACCTTTTCATAACCCTTTATGCAGGGCTCTCTGGTACAGCTGGGCCAGAGACGATGACTCAGACTGAGACCCAAGAAGACCCTTTCCAAACTCACCCTCTGTCCCCACCCAGGTTCAGTCTTAACACCGGCTTGCAGCTGGTCCTGCAGGGGTGTCTGCAGTGTGGGAGCAGGTGAGAGGGAAAGTTAAAAAGGAGTGAAAACAAGAGGGTGGGACTTCCTATTTGTAGATTAACGGCATGAGATTGCCAATTACAAGGGACTAGGAACAATTTGGCCAGGCCTGCAGAGGAGACTTAGATCATTTTAGTGGGAAAGACGCAGTCACATTCTCCTGGGGATGAGTGTGAAAGGAGGTGAGAGAGAAGGGGTGGAAATCACCTTCCCCCTACTGGGCCCTACTCCTGAGATCCTGATTCAGTTGGTCTGTGCGGCCTGTACATTAGTATTATTTTAAATAAACTTCAATTTTACTGTGCACTCAAGGTTGAGAGCTACTGATGTACCATCATTCATCACTTTGGGGGAGACTGAGGCCCAAGAACACATTGTTACAGACCTTGGGCCTCAACCATAGGTCTTTTCATTTTCGGTACAATGGGTTTTTCTACCATAAGTATTAGGCTGTCTACAAGAGTTTTGTGACTCTAGTAATTTCTGATAATGCAGATAATTGCTCTGAAATAGTCCATTTTTCATCAGGTGTCTTATGTCTTTCTGTAACTTTTACCAATTGTGTAGTTTTCTTATTTGTGAAAATTAGGGTGCTTGAACTTACGAACTTTAACAAAAAGAATGGTATGTCCTGTAAGAGTCTAATTGAGACTGAGTTGTAAATGACCAAAGGAAGCCTGATGAATAAACTTCAGCAAAATAGTATTATAAAGTGTATCGACTGCCTATTGCTGGGAAACAAGCTTCCCCAGCACTTAGTTGCTTAACATGACAAGGATTTATTTCTTATAATTCTGTGGGTTGGCTGGGCTCAGCTAGGCAATTCTTTTATGACACTTTTGGTGTCAGCTTGACTGCACTCAGCTGGAGCCCAGCGAGGCTGGAGCATCCTTGGTGGCCTCACTCACATGATGGTGCCCAGCAAGGGTTGATGGGATAGCTGGGGCTGGCTGGGCCTCCCTGCCTCCACTTACCCATTTAGTAGTCTAAACTGAGAACCTTTCCCTGACAGCTGGATCTCAAGAGAGTGAAAGTAGAAGCTCTCAGGTCTCTTAAGGCGTAGAACTGGAACTGGTACATTGTCATTTCTGCTGGATTCTTTTGGTCAAAGCAAAGATTGTGAGCCTAGATTCAGGGGGAAGGGATTGGACTCCACTTGACCGATGGGGTGATTTGTGTATAAAGGAATCAGTGGGATTGTTGGCTGCCATCTTTGACAACTGTCTGCCACACACAGATAGAGGAGTAATTCAGTTCCCAGAATGGAAGGAAAACAACAGAAACTCTATAGACCATAGGGACTGGTCAGTGGCTGGATCAAAATCAGGTTGGTCTATGGTTTTTCCACTCTAGCGTCTTGAATCATTCTTTACTGCTCGTGTCAGGCCTTTTTCACATGATTACAGCATGGTCACAGGTAACTTTAGCCCATGTCATTCATTTTTTTTAATTAAGAGAAAAAACAAAGAGTCTCTCCGTGGTTCCTTCAGTGTTAAATTCTAGGGACTTGGATTATGGAATCTCCACTTCAACCATTTACAGTGGTCAGAAAGATGAGTTAGTATTATAACCTCTTTCTGAGTCATGTGTCCATTCATTTTCAAATGAATGGAGGAAAGAGGTCTAGGAAGAAATAAACGGTATATATTGTACTATTCTTTTTATATTATAGTTAAATTTGAATAAATTCAGAGAGGAGGAAAAGAACAGGTAGTTTTCTTAGGTTGGTCAAAATCAGCCTAAGCAGTGAGGAGGCTTGAAGTGGTTGGGGACGGTGAGGTACACCATAAGCAGGGGAAAGGAAAGATGCTTATTTAACCTCTTTTGAAGGAGGTATTTGAGTTAGGTGTTGAAAGATGGCCAGCCTGTTAGCAAGCTGGGTTGGTGAGGAGGAGTACTGTCAGGGAAGGGCATAGTTTCTGAGCAGAGGCACAGAGGCAGGAAAGTGTGTGCGGGCCGTGAGTGGACCTACACTGGAGTGTCTTGTGGACACCCTACACGCATGGATGTGTATGTGGATATGGGTAGGCGAGATCAGGGGAAGAAGCTACAGAACAAATCAGGATGGTGCTTGAAAGCCAGATTAAATAAGAAATTAGGGCTGCGTTTATGGCTTCAGAGACTTTGTGAAGGGTTTTGAGTGAGAGTCACGTGGTTAGGAGTGTGTAGCAGCAGTATGTAGGACAGAGGCAGGAGCTGCCTAAGAAGCTGGCGCAGCATGCCACCGGGCATGAAAGCTGAACCAGAATGGTCCTTTGGGACCAGAAAGAAGTAGAGAAATGTGAGAGACATTTTGAAAACAGAATTAACAAACCTGATGACTAACAGAAGAGTGAAGAGGAGATATTGAGAATATTCTTAACAGAGCAGAAGGGGAGCCGTAGATGTGGCAGTTGGAGAAGGGACAGGGAGGACTTTCTTGGTTTGAGGCAGGGGTGGCATGGCTACGAAATCCGTTTAATAGAAATGAAAGTCTGTCTCACGGGAGGGAAAAACAAAGGCTAGAGAGTTCTGTTATACCATATTATTTGGAAGCAAACTTACAAATATTTTATTCAGAGTATATAGAGTATATATGGAGGTGGATGCTTCAGCAATGAGAGCCATTTCCAGATATTCCGCCTGCTCTGTCCTGTCTGCAGCTTCCCCCTGGGATAATAATTGCTGAGGCAAACAAGCTGGCTGTTAAGTATCTCATTTCTCTACATACAGATGCCTGCTGTGGAGTCTTAACTCATTTTTCTTCATGGAAATAACAAGGGAGATGAAGACTGTAACTCTTATACTGATATTTCTTAAAGAAGGCTGTATCCCCCAGAGCTCCTATACCCTTTGCTCCTGTTTGGCTGTTTGGGTTAGTACCATTTATAGCATAGCTCTGATCAGCCCCGTAGAAACATCTTTTTATTTGCCATTCATTCCTTCATGCACTCAGTAAGCATTCATTAATAGTAATAATATAGTGGCATTAATTATGTTATTAACAACAACAAATAAAAACAAACAAGAAAATGCTCAACCATTTAGTGAGCTCTTATTCTTGGCTAGACCCCACACTAAGATATACTTAAGTTTTAGAAAATCCTGAAAAGTAGGTTGATTATATATCTAGTTTATAGATTAAGAGATCTGAGGTTCTGTGAGTTTAAATCAACTTGTTCAAAGTCAAAGGTTAAGAGATGGCAAAGCCGATACTGAAAATCTGACTTTTTTACTTCAAAGATTATTCTAATAATTATTTGTATAAGAGTTGTTCTCTTATATGCAAGGCAGTATGCTAGAATCTGGGACTAAAAGATGGATAAGATAGAGTTAATAAGGAACTCATAGTCTTGTGGGGGATATGATCTGAGTCATAAAATAAAGTGGTCACACAGTGATTTTTACAGGACTTTGAGGAGGACTGCCTACACCAGCTGGGGGTCCTAGGGAAGGGTTCCTAAATGGAAGGATGGAGCTGAATGTTAACAGAAGAGCAGCAGGCATGACCCAGGTTCAGAAGAGTACATCCCCGGTAGATGGGGCAGCAGGTATAAGAGTAGGGGGCTACAGAGAGTGTGCTGGGAACTACTGCTTTTAATAACTCTCAGTGCAAAGTCAGGTAACAGTGTGAGACGGGGATGAAGCCAGCAGTGGGGATGGTCCACAGAGGGAGGACCTCCCAGAGTTCTCAGCCACACAGATAATCCTGGCAGCTCTGCAGAGGAGAGATTGGAAGAAAACAATATAAAAGACAGAGGGAAGAGGGTGGAGATTAAAGTTATCAATACAGTCCAGAAATAAAGAGAATGGGACCCAGGCAGTAACATTAAGGATGATGCTAAGGTATTGGATTAGAGAAATATTTAGGAAGCAGAACTGCAGGACTTGTTGCTTGGATCTGAAGAAAGTGAAAAAAAGGAGGGAAAGATAGACTTCCAAGGTTCTGACTAGAATGAATGGGTAAATTCTTTTGGCCACAACTATAGTCCAGAATACAGAGGGAGGGTTTCAATTTTGATATTTTGAGTTTTAGGTGCATTGGATATTGGAGAAGAAATGTTCAGCTAGTGGTTGAATAAATATATGAGTTTGAAGCTCAAGAATGAAGTTGAGGCTCAAGTTTAGGATGATGTAGTCTTTAGCATGTGGATGTCAATGGAACTGATGCAGGACAACTTACTAGCACAGACATTCTTTCCAAGGGCAGCTTGGAAACAACGATGAATTACCTCATTGAACTTGTATTGGGGGAAGTTTTTTATTCTGTCCTTTGTCACACATAAAAACTTAGGGTGGTTGAGGGATGGGAAAGGCAAGTTAACGGACTATTTAATAGCCTTGATAATACATTGTAGCTGCCTTCAAGCACCAAGGTCTCCTTTCACAAGCTCTATGCTCCTTGATGCCTGAGGTCTCTAGTATGTAGTTGACAGTGTAAGGGATCTGGCCTCTCTATAATGAATCTCTAGCCTCCCACACTTCATTCTTCACATTTTTATCTAATCTAAGAAATAAGCAATGTGAGTACTTATAAAACATGGAGCTCTCTGCCTTTCTCCTACTTCTTAAAGTGCAGAGTACCTTCTGTTTTTCCCGTGCACTCACCGGTACACTTGCTCTGACTCATGAGCTTTGTAATTGGCACAGTACAAATTTATGTCTCAGCAAACTTACAAATTACTGCGTGTAATGGATTTTTGGGATCATTTATAAATAATTGAAACCATGATTGTTAAATTCTTGAATGCCAAGGGTCTACTGAATATCAATATTTCATGGAGTTCCATAAAGAACATTATGAATTACAGCTTTGGTGACTCTTAAAATAATGTATTTGAGAACCCCCTGACCCATAGAATTGATATCTGTGACTTCATAATTTTTCTCTTTTAGAATAAATTAACAGGTTAAACATATTTCTTGTGAAGATATTAAAAAAAATCTTCATATTTTGTGGAAGTAGAGGGAGTTGATATGATGCCAAACATTTTATGTCTTATATTTCATTTCATTTACTTTGGTTTGTTTTTCATTTTTAAAAAGCAAAATAATACATGCTTGTTGTGAAAAAACAGAATATTCAGAAGCATGTGGAATAAAAAGTGAATGTCTTGATTTGTATCTTAAACCTTCTCATTTTAATTTATACAAGTAAGTACACACAGAACTTTATGGGGAATTTCTTTTTTTAAGATTTTATTTATTTATTTTTAGAGAAGGGAAAGAAAGGAGAAAGAGAGGAAGAGAAACATCACTGTGTGGTTGCATCTTGCACGCCTCCAACTGGGGATCAGGCCTGCAACCCAGGCATGTGCCCTGACTGGGACTCAAGCTGGTGATCCTTTGATTCGCAGGCTGGCACTTAGTCCACTGAGCCACACCAGCCAGAGTGGGCTTTATAGGGAAACTTTTTTTTTGAAAAAAAATTAAATGGAATCATGGCACTATGTATATTATTCTTTTTTAATTATAGATTTCCCTTCCTTCCTCCCTTCCTTCATTCCGTACCTCTGCATACATTCTAATTTATTTATCTACTTCCCTACCTGTGCCCTTTTTTTCTTTTTTTCTATATTACGTGTGAAGAATGATGAGTGGGATTTTTTTCCTCTATTGCCCCCAGACTGTTCCCGAGGCCCAAAGCTGGGCACAAAATTGCTAAGCATTTCATGTTTGAAAGGAGCCTCGAGCAGCGAGAGCCAGGCCTTTCCCTGTGGGCTTATTGAAAGTATGAGAAGTGTTCAGTGGTCCACCTACAGGCTGTTGTATACAAAGGGAACCGAGAGACAAGAAGGTTTTAAGACTTGAGGGAGTGCTATATTTGTGGGGGAAAGTATTTTTCTCCCTTTTTCTAAAATCAAGAGAAGAGGAGTGCTCTAAGAGGATTACTTGTGGAGTTTAAAGATGCCAACAGGAGCAAGAGAGTGGCATTTAACTAAACACCTGCTTAGCCAGTGGATTTGCTGATGTACCTACCCCATTAATACCTGAATACACGAAAACAACAACAAAAAAACTTGTGAGAGTTGACCCAGTGGGAGACGGCTATGTGGGGAAGTGGGCCAGGATCGGCCCCTTCCCACCCCAGAGTTCAGTGTCTGGCATGTGTCGGCTGGGCCTACAGCAGAGGGCAGTGAGGTCGGGGAGTGGTTGAGCAGCTTGGGAGGAGAGAATATATCTTTTAGGGGAATGTGGAATACATTTCACCAGTCGAGGGTCATCTCCAAGAGGTATCCAAATGATTGATTTTCCTATAGATTATTTATTACTATACAAGAAACATGATAAGATTTAGGTTCCATTTATAAGGTATTTAGTCAGTCGAGATAGTATTTTAAAGTTATATACTGTGTTTCTTTTGAAAAAAGAAAAATATTAAAAGACAAGTAATGAGTCTAAAACAAGTCATGTTAATAATGTCTTCTCAAGAAATTATAGCTGTTAGGTGTTAAGTAAAATCAAAACCAGCTTTTTCCACACGGCAGCTGGTATACATGAGTTCTTAGTTATACATGGAGGTGAACATTCATGTGTATCTGCTCTGTTGTCATTACTTCCTACGAATGGTTCCCAGGGGGACTGGGGCATATCTGAGCAGGAAGTATTAGTGAGTAAGGAGGTCATTTTTAAGAGGACAAAACTAGGTTTACTCTTTGTGTTGGCAATAAGTACAAATTGAAAAGGTGCTAATGACAATATTAACGCAGTTCAAAACACCTCTGATTGGTTAAACTGAAACTTTTATTAAACCATGTTAAAGGAATCATGTTTATTTTCTGAGTTGGTCATAACACAGCTTCATGTGAATTTTTCTGTGAGAGAAGAGCAAGTTTATCAATCAGCTGTAGAAAAAACCATTATATTTAGATGGTAGAAAGAAAATATTGCAGTAATTTACAAGAAATTATAAGGACAGTGCATGTTAGAAGTATGACATTGTTGAACAGAAAATTTAAGAGATTAGTAGGTTTCTGGGTAAAGATTATATTCAAATGAAAGCAAATGTATGTGCTTATGTTTCATTTGCATTTTTGGTTATTTTTCACTGAATATTGGACAAGATTATAAAGGTTGATACAACTGAAAATTGTTTTTCTAATAACTATATTGTTTTAAAGTTATTAAACTAGAGGCATAGAATATGGTATTTTTAATTAAGGTAAATCTTGAAGTTTTAAAAATATACATATTGCATGAATCTTGTAGCTTCATGCTTTTTATGCTTAAATTTACATATTTCTTTTTAAAACAACATTCCATTTATTTTTTCTTCTGATTTGTTTTATAGCAAATGCCACAATCATTTTCTGCAATCACATTAAGTAACACAGATATGAATAATACAAAGACTTATGTGCAGAGAAATGAAATCCCCCTAGAGGAACTTGGTAAAGTTTCTGAACATAAAATCATCACTAAAGGAACACTAAATAAAGAAGGAATGAGCTGTTCTGAGAGTTGTTCGAGTGCCCAAGGCACGTCCTTCCATGGTGAGGGTCGAGGATCTCATCCTGAGAGCAGCTCTGGTCCTGCCAGCCCCGAAACTTTGCATGCAAAGGCAACTGATTCAGTTCTACAAGGTTCTGAAGAAAACAAGGTCAAGAGGACATCCTGCATGTATGGGGCAAACTGCTACAGGTAAAATGAAATTATAGGTAACATACAATTCCTTTATTTCAACAGCATGTAGCTGTGTAGATATATGTTATTGTGTATTAAAAGCCTAATAAAATACATTGGCCTAAAAGCTGGAGCTTTTTCATGTGTCTCCTTGGTTGGTACTTTCTCAGTATGCATTCCTGCAAATTCTGCAAATCCTGCTAGAGGTTTTTTAGTATTCACTGTTTCACATGCTGATTAATGCAAGGATCTGAACTGGGGAATCCAGACTTGAAAACTGAATCACTCAGACCCAACTACCTGCTTATTTAGTGTCTTATTTAGATATTAGAAAGATAACTTCATAAATAGCTGTCACATACATTATAACTATCGATAAAATTTTAGGTCGTGTTTAGGTGTCTTATTATACTTATGCATTTTCCCCTATATTTTTTTAACAGTACTTTTAAATCATCATGATGCATTTTTAAACAGCTGAATATATATTTCCTGGCTCTATTTGTTACGTCTATACTTACTTCACTTGAGTACATTGTGGTATATTTTCTAATTTCATTATTTTGTAAATTCAAATTATTTCCCTTTAGTTTTAGGCTATAGTTTTACCTATAATGTTTATACTAGACTGTTTATAATTATACAGTCCTATTTCAGAAGTATTTCTTTGCTATTCCAACTTGTGAAGCCAAATATTTTACCAGTACATTCCAGTAGAGTTTGTTGTCTTCTATGAAAGAGTGTATCTATACCATATATTCTGTTAACTTCACATTCATATTATCTCTCTTTAAAATGCCTTGCCATTTCAGCACTTGAATAACAATATTTTTCCATTTCAACAGTTAGAATTTATTCACAATTTTTTTCACTTTAAAATGACCTTAGTTCCACATGTGGAACGTAATTTGTAAACGTAGAGAAGTATATAAACCTTCTATGAGTTTAGAGTTTTGAAAAATCCCAGTTGATATTTGGATTTGTTCACTAGGGCTGCCATAACAAAATACCACACACGGGGTGGCTTAAACAACAGAAATTTATTATTTCATGATTCTGGAGACTGAAAGTCCAAGATCGCAATGTTGTCAGGTTTAATTTCTCGTGAGCCCTTTCTTTATGGCTTGCAGGTGGCCTCCTTTTCATGGTGACCTTACATGGCCTTTTATCTGTACGTGCACATCTGGCACCTCTTCCTCATCTCATAAGAACCAGTCATATTGGGTTAAGGCCTTGCCCTTATGACATTATTTACTGTGAATTATCTCTTTAAAGGCCCTGTTTCCAAATATAGTCATATTGGGTGTTAGGGCTTCAACATACGAATTTGGGGCTTGGGAGGGGGACACAATTCAATACATAACAGTGTTCAACACTGGCATTTTTCTTTGTTAAAGGTGATTGAATGCTTTATCAAGATCCTAATAAATTCATTTATATTTGATGATGATACATGCTACTTTAAGTCAGTCATAGCTTATGAAGTTGTTTTAATTTTTCAATAATTTTGATATGCATGGTTAATACCTAAGAAATATTATCACTGAAATCTTGAAAACAATGTATATATTTGTAACAAAGGGGAGAAAATAATATATATTGAGGTCTTGTCATATGTGTATGTCATAATCATTTAAATGTGTCTCTTCAGCCTTAGTGCCATTGCCGTACTTCATGCCATAGTCTCTCTGGGACAAGTGAATAATCTCCTAAGTCTATACTTTCCCTCAGATTCATACCCCTCATTGTTTCCTGAGTGATCTGGCTAAGAAAATAACAACAAAAATAAAAATGAAGAGGAGAGAGAAAAAAATCTGACAGTATTTACCTTCCTATACAGAATCTTTTAGCAGCTGAAGTCCAGGTTTCTTAGGGTAGTCTAGATGGCTTCCCACTAATTCTTTGGATGCACCATACTGTTCTATGTCCTTTAGACACAGTGTTCCCTTTTTCTTGCTCCTGTCCTGCTTAAAGATCTTGCTTACATTCAACTCCTTTCTTTGACATGCCCATTCTTTCCCAAATTGCTCATCCCCTATTCTATGCAACATTTTTCCTCATGCAATTTCTACTGTTTGGCATTAGAACTAATATTTAACATCCAATTATTGATTTCTAATTATTTATTTACATGTTTCATCTCTCTTTGTAGAAAATTATTCCTTAAGGTAGTCTTTTTTAATACTTTGATATGTTGCTATTGCCTCCCAAATCTATATCTCCAACACAGATTTTTGTACTGAATTTTAGATCCACATGTTCACCACAATATCCATTTCAAATTCAACAAGTCTAAAACAGTTCCCTCTTATTTCAATCCTTTGTGAAACAAAATAACAATAAAATAGCAACTGTTGCTTCCAAAGCAAATATATTTTGAAATTTTTTTCTCATTTAGTTTTTCTGCTTAATAGCATATAAGGATCTGGTTTTAAAATTAGTAAACTGGTTTTAACATTTGGGCAGAAGTTGTGTCTGTCATTAACATGTGAGAAATGTATACCTTAATTTAAATTTGTAGCTTTTATCTATATAGGGCCATATCAGTTATTTGAGTTAATAGTGTATACAATAAGGTTTTCACTCTGGTAAAGGCAAAGTATCTTGTTGAAGACCAGACCTCCCACTGGGAACAACTAGGAAAGCTGACCATTCATGTTTGTAAACATCAGAGGCAGCCACTTGGAGGCTTCTCTTCTTGTGACAGTTGCCAGTTTTTGTAACTTCAAGTTGTGGGCTGAGAAGCCAACCCGAGTTTTGGCACTCTCATGGGACTTAGGCAACAAAAATGCAGGTCAGTGTTTGCCAAGCAGGAGGATCTCTGTATGGAAGCATGGACAGTCAGGGTGGAAAATATAAATGTAAATATAAATGAATATTGACTATGTAAAGCAATAATAAATTTTGTGTTTTATAAAATATATGTGAAATTAAAGTATATGAAAATCTGCCCTCGCCACTGTTCTCGGTTGGAGCATCATCCTGTGGACCAGAGGGTCACAGGTTAGGTTCCCGGTCAGGGCACATGCCTAGCTTGTGGGTTTGGTCCTCGGCTGTGACGCATGTGAGAGGCAACTGAGCAATATTTCTCTCACATCTGTATTTCCCTTTCTCTCTCCCTCCCTCCCCTCCTCTCTAAAATCAATAAGCATTTCCTTGGTCGAGGATTTTACACACACACACACACACACACACACACACACACACACACACATATACACACACATATACATATACATATATAGAGAGAGAAATAGCACAGAAGTGTTGGGTGTTAAAGCAAGTAAAATTTGACTACATACATTATAGAATTGGAAACATACACCATTTGTCATTTTGTGACTGGCTTGTTTCACTTAGAATAATACCCTTAAGGTTTATCCAGCTTGCAGCATGTGTCAGGATTTCCTGTCTTTTTAAAGCTCAGTAATATTCCACTGTATGTATAGGTCACATTTTGTTTACCCATTTATCTGTCAATGGACACTTGGGTTTCTTCCATCTCTTGGCTATTGAGAAAAATGCTACTATAAACATGGGTGTGCAAATAACTTTTTGAGATCTTGCTTTCATTCTTTTGGATATTTATGTAGAAGTAAAATTGCTGGATAATATGGTATTTCTATTTTTAATACTTTGAGGAGCCGCCACAACATTTTCCAATAGCAGCTGTACCATTTCACATTTCTGACAACATGCACAGTTTCCAATTTCTCCACATCCTTATCAACACTTGTCATTTTCTATTTGTTTGTTTGTTTGTTTATTTTTTAGTAGTAGCCATCTATCCTTATGGGTGTGAGATATAATATATTATTATGTTTAATTTGCATTTCTTTAATAGTGATGTTGAGATTTTTTTTCACATGATGATTGGCCATTTATATATTTCCTTTGGAGAAATGCCATTTCAAGTTCTATTTCCATTCTTGAATTGGGTTATTTATTTGTTGTTGGTCACTGAGAGGATTTCTTTATATATTCTAAATATTAACCCATTATTAGATACATGACTCGTAAATATTTTCTCCCAATTTTGAAGATTGCCTTTTACTCTGTTAATTTCTGTCCTTAGATGCACAGGAAATTTTATCTATTTTCCTTTTGTTGTCTTTTCATTGGCAAGAAGAAATCTTTGCCAATTCCAGTGTCGTAAAGTCCCCCTCACCCCCATTTTCCTCTAAGAATTTTATATTTTAGGTCTTAGGTTTAGGTTTTTGATCCTTGTTAATTTTGTATATAGTAAAAAGGGCTCCAGTTCTATTATTTTGCATGTGAATGCCCAGCTTTCCAAACATCATTTACTGAAAAACTTATATTTCCCCTATTGAATGGTTTTGACACAATTGTTGAAAATAATTTAACCATATTGGCAAAGGTTTATTTCTGGGCTCTCTGTTCCCTTTCATTTGTCTATAATCCTGTCTTTATGTAGTATGACTATTTTGATAATTGTAGTTTTGTAATAAATTTTGAAATCAGCAAATGTGGGACCTCCAACTTTGTTGTTCTTTTTCAAGATTGTTTTGGCTATTTGGGGTCCCTTGAGATTCCATATGAATTCCTCCAAAATATGCCATTAGGATTTTGATAGGGAATGAATTATAGCTGTAGATTTCTTTGGGTAATGTTGACATCTTAACAATATTAAGTCTTCTATTCCATAACCATGGGATGTCTTTACATTTATTTGTGTCTTCTTTAATAGAAATTAAACCAGCATATGAGTCTTTCACCTCTTTAAGTTTATTTGTAAATATTTTTATTTTTTAGAAGTATTTTTATTTATATATTTTTAAAGATTTTATTTATTTATTTTTAGAGAAAGGGAGGGAGAAAGAGAGGGAGAGAAACATCAATGCGTGGTTGCCTCTTGTACAACCCAACTAGAGACCTGGCCCGCAACCCAGGCATGTGCCCTGACTGGGAATCGAACCAGTGACCCTGGGTCTTTGGTTCACAGGCTGGTGCTCAATCCACTGTGCCACACCAGCCAGGGCTTTATTTTTATTTTTTAA